AAATAAAAATGGAGAAGCTGTCTGACTTTTAATTCTCAGTGGACGATATTCAACTCAAATGTGAAAATTAAAATGCAACGCTGCTTTTATAAACCTTCTGATGATGCACCAAATATTTAAGTAACAATTAAAACTGAAACTGCAATTTTCCAACAATTTAAAAAATAAAAATGAAAACAGCGTTTGACGTTTCATTTCTTTAACCAGCTGTGTAACGGACAACAAGTAATCCTTAAACTTTTATTTTGACGCCGTTTCACTTATTGCATTTGAATAAAGTCCACTGTGTAGCAGTCAATGGAGAATCAATGCTCATTAATAATAAAGCATTGACGATGAGTATTAAGAAATATCTATATCAACAACAGAGAGGTGAAACCAGCTGCTCAGCTCCATGTGACAAACTGTTACATGACGGGAGTTGAGAGGAGGACGGCTGTTTGTTGATCACCTGGAATGTAAATGTCCCAGAGGCACGGGCTCATTGATCCGCCCGGTAACAAGTGTTTTCTGGGAGATGAGATAATGACACCTGAGACTCGGACTAATGACCAGCAGCAACCAGGGAGGAGGCGCCGGCTGACGGGAGGTAACGGTGGACGAGAAGGAGGTCGGACAAAACATCATCCATTAGAGAAGATTCAGTCTAGATCTGAAACTTTCAGCTCATTAATTGATAGAAAAAAAAGACCAACAGAAAACGAATCAACTGTTTAGCTGATGGATTCATCGTTAAAAGGATTTGCTGATTTTCACTGTCATTTCATAAACTAATTGATCGTTTTGGGGAGTTTAAGAAACATAACATACTTGTCTTTTTACAAGAAGGATCTCTTGTTGAGTCATTTCAGAGTTTTGGTCTGTGTCCGGTCATTTCTCTAACTTTCTCTTGACGCACAGTTACAGGAAGTGTCGCCAACTTTCCAGACTCCTTTAGCTACTTTTCGCAGAAGAGAGTCGTCAGTGATGCCCCAGTGACTGTTGGTTATCATGAGGCTGCGTTTCATTTACCATTTCATAGTTTTTCCGTTGTCTGACAACGGAAACAGAAAAAACATGTCAGTGAGAAGAGCTTTACTGTGAATTCAGCTGTATGTGTGAGCACAGAGAGGAGGAGAGAAGCGAACGGATGAAGAGCTGAAAGCAGCTGGATGCAAAGAGGACGCAACAACGTCATGAAAATGCTAAGTATAGTATTCCGTCATTTAGCGACATTTAGCTTATCTTAGCTTAGCTTATTAACTTTACTGACTTTAGCTACTTTCCATTGAACGTAGTTTTTTACAGCAGTTCCACGACAGTGTTTAACTATGTGTTCTTGCACATTGACCACACACAGACCAGGACATGGACTAGGTTTGTGCAACACTGTGAACGCCTTCCACAGGAAAATGGCCGCCGTTATCCGCATGTTTAAATGACGTCGGCCTGGGAACTTTGTTCTGTGTAAAACAATATTTCCTGGTCTGACAAATGTTTTACCACTGAAACTGTATTTTTCTCTCTTTAAAGTCCATGTTGTTGCACAAACTACTATTACAACCCTTTATGAACCAATCACAATTAATCAAGTATACAAATTCTTGCAAATTGTTCTTCTGGACTCATTCAAACATTCTCAGAGCGGTGGGTGTCATGGGCTTCATTCTGGTGTCTAGCATGTGCGCGCACACACACACACACACACACACACACACACACACACACACACACACACACACACACACAAGAGAGAGGAAGGATGAGGTGATGATACTGAACGTAAGAGACGGAGAGAAACAAGCAGAGCAACAA